TTTAGAAAGTGGCATCTGAGCAAAGATGAAGAAGGACTGAGAGTGAGCCAGGGATCTGCCAGGATAGTGTCCCAGGTAAGAATCTTTGTGAAGGACCTTGCCTAGCATGTTAGCTTGATTACCCCCAGGCAATATGGTCCACGGAAGCAGAAGAGTAAAGAAAAGTTGTGGCAAATGAGAGTGCACAAAGGTATGGAAAAGGAAGAATTCTGGACACTCATCTTTGAGTAGCCATCCTGAGACACATGACAGACTTCCTTTCTGCATGCTTTTTACCAAAAAGGAATCACTATTTTTGTACAAGATGCAAACCCCATGAACTTTGGAAGCTGATAAACTTGAATCACTCTTATGTGCATGTAAGCAAATTATTAGTTATACCTGGTACTTCCTTTTTCATCTATGTGCTGGGGGTGAGACCGTGTAAGGTTGCTGGGATCCAGCAGGGTAGACTCATGATCTTGTATGTCTATCATAGCTGCTGACTTGACTGTAAATCAAATGAGATTCAAAGTGCCTTCTGGGACTATATACATGCCTTGTGCTATTTTTCCATCACAAGAGCTGCAGCTGTCTGGTATTAAAGCTAAGTACTTAGTTAAATTAGTGGTATTTTCCTGTCCTTGGTGGGTGCACCCTTGCCAGACCACAGAGGAAGACAATGTAGCCAGTCCTGATGAGGCCTGATAGGCTAGGGTTAGATAGAAGGGAAGGAAGACCTCCCCTATCAGTGGACTAGAGGAAGGGCATAGGGGGAGAAGAGGGAGGGAGGGTGAGGTTGGGAGGAGATGAGGGAGGGGGCCACAGCCAGGATACAAAGTGAATAAATTGTAATAAATAATAAATTAAAAAAATTTAAAAATTAGTGGTATTTTCATGAAGTGTAAACCTAGCTATTACTGAACTTGATTCAAGGTAGTTGTAGTTGGCAATTGTTAGTAAACCAATATGCTCACAGGTGTCTGGGTGAGAGTGTAGTGTACCATTGGCCCTGTACTATTAACTCTAATCCCAGGACTGGGAGAGCGGAGACGGGGAAATACTTTCCCTTCATCTTAGTTCAAGTTTTGCTATTTCTCGCTCAGTATTGTGCAGTGCTATTTGTCCATCCTGCTTGGCCTCCTGTCTCCTCTCCAGTCCCGGAGATGGCACTGGAGCAACACTCACAGCAGGACTGCCCATTGTCTTTCCAATCAATATTCTGGCCACACTGCAACAGAAAGGACTCATGTGAGAGAGGGATGAGGCAGTGCCCCTTCCCAATTTAACCCTGCCTCACCTGCTCTGGAAGCCTTCCTTCACTGATTGTAGTATATTCCCGAACTACCCAGTTATTGCTTTGGAGAAATGGCTGATTATAACATGAAGAAAGGACATTTACAAAGATCCTCCTGTAGTATCTTGAAGAGCCAGGGAGTGAGGATGTGTTCAAAATAAAGACAAAAACAAAGGAAGCTTACAATGGTCACTGTGCCAACGGGCATAGAATCCAAGAGAAAGCTTGCATAGCCAAAGCAATACTGTTTGAAGCAACTGCGTGACCTCGTACTACATTATAACAAATAAATTAAGTTCATGAGTATACACAGATATAAATAAGTAAGTGAAGATGGAGAGAAAGAGGCCACACTTCTGCAGAAGAATTCTAGATACTTTCATTTGTTATCGTAATTCCAAGATACAGACTCCTCAGTTTCTATGTGTAGGTGGCTCACAACAACTTCCTTACAAGGTGTTTACTACAGAGGGCAAAGTAAGGAAAAATATGATAAACAATGAAGATATCTGACAACTACTCCTCAGCCTGGTGACCAGATTCTGCATCAATAAGGCAAATCTGGATTGATAGTGTATATGTGTATATCTGTGACAGGATAGAGTGGCATTTTCCTCTCTAATGTTCCTTCCAAAACACATAACCTCACTCTAATCATAAGAAAAGCATTAGACAAATCCCAATTGAAAGACAGTCGCTAAAAGGCCTCGCCAGTCTACCACCAAATGTCAAGGTTATCAAAAAGCAATGAATGTTTGAGAAAATGTCACAGCCATGAGACACCTAGGGAGATAAGGGAAATGAACACAGTGTGTGTAGTCTGCCTGGTTGGACCATGCAGTAGAAAAGGTTAAGGCTGCAAAAGTCTAACAGAGCTTAGAATTTGCTTAACGCAAGTACGTTTGAGACTTTGGTCCTGGAGCAGCCTGAAGAGTCAAAAAGTAAGGGGGTGCTGAAACTGAAAGACAAGCAAACTGAGTGGGATCACCATGTGTCAGAGTAATGCACAAGCCAGTTAAAGGGCTCCCGGGCGTCAAAGACAGAGCATGCTAGGCAAGCAGGTCCCACACACTGGATCATAATGCCAGGGACAAGTAAATGTCAAATGCACCATGCTGAAGATGTTAATAATTAGCTGATACAAGCAGGAAATAATAAAGTATGGTGTATTTGAGGCCTCTTCCTACCATCTACATAAATTTTCTAAAATTCTAAAATTACTCAGTAATAGTAAAATGAAGTTTTAAAAAATACTTCAGACTATCGTGTTACTATGAGGTCTGCTCATCATAATTGCCCGTTGGAGCCTTGTCTTTCAACTCAGAATCTTGGAAATCTTCCGTAGTCCCTATTCGCAAATGGAGCTCCCATTCCACCTATGTTTACAGAGCCTTGGACTTACTTTATTGTTCTTAATGTTAGTTAATTCATTTACTTTACTCAGTCATTTAGAAAATACTTATATACTTCCTCCATGTTAATATTCCAGAGAAGTTTATTTCAAACAATAACCTTGACCCTGTCTTAGTTTACAGCTTGGCTGGGAGGGGCCACAAACATTGACTACTGGGTGATTGGAAATACGTGGAGTACTAAGAGAATGAATAGTTGTAGAGATGATGAGACATCTTTAAGAAATTGATCTTGACATTGAGCTCTAAAGAAAACTCATAGAGAATCTCTCTTACACGTGTATATGTATGTGTATATGTGTACATATAAAAGCATGCGTTCCCTTCTCTTTCTCCCCTTCACTCTTTCTCTCCATGTTTGTGTGTGCATGCACATTGGAGGGATGTGGGGCTGGATATACAGGCACTATGATACAGTGGTTCTTCAGGACTTTGCGTGTGTGCTGGAGTGATGGAGGCGGACAGGAGCTAAGAGACGATATTTCAGAAGAGACCATATATGCTGAGACAGGAAAAAGAGTAGTTGGAGTTTAGCTGTAACTCTGCTTGCCAACATGCACAAGGCTTTGGTTTTAGGCTTTATAACTTCTAAAACCAAACAAGAAACAAAAGGAGAGGAATGTCCACATAGAAATTCCTTCTTCAGCTGGGTGATATTGTAGTATTGCTTTGCTATGCATCAGACTCGCTGACAATTCCCACAGGAGATTAAGCTCTTCTTTATATCCACACAGCTTCTTCTCTAGGTGCTGTGGTTATATTCCCAGTTTACAGGTGAGGAAACTAAGACCCTCAAATACTAGGCGGAAGGAATGAAATTCAAATGAAAATTAGCTGGGTTAAGCTTTGGAGTCTTCGCTTCTCTCGCGAGAGACAGAACTAACTCCCCAGTGCTGGATCACTTTGGTATATTTCTTCCAAGGCAGACAAAGTTTTCTCAGCACTGTTGAGATTTTGAGCCAGGCCCTCCCTTGCTGCATCAGGCTGTCATGGATGCCATGTTTAATGGCATCCCTCCTCAATACCTACAGGATGCCAGTAACATCTTGCTCCTCCTAGTGATCACAGGAATAAAAAACTCTCTAAGTGTGAAGGAACCCATCACGCCCTTTTCCCAATATACGAACACACTGTGTTGCAGCTAAGTTCTCAGAGAGCAGAGTGTCTTAATTACTCCTTGTTGCCCCTGACCCTTTTCTTTTGTGCACTTCCCTATGCGCTCCTGTGTATGGTCTATGTATATCGATAGTATACACTCCACTTAGAGTTTATAACACAGCAACATGTAGACCACTTGTTCAACACATTCTTGCCATCTCTGACTGAGTGCCAATGGTCAAGAATTCTAAATGTCATGGAGCCCATTTTGGTAAAAATGAAAACCCACTGTCTCTGAATTCAAAACTTGAAGGTGAGAAAATTAATTCCTGATATAGTTCCTAACTCTGAAAAGCTCATTGCTTCCAGGGCGTAGAAGGGGAGCTGACCCAAGCCAACCATGGCAGGGCATACCTTGTAATCTCAGCATTTGGGAGGCTGATGGAGAAAGATGACCTGTTTATGGGCAGCTTAACAACAACAACAAAATCTAAGGCAAAAAGAGCGACCTTTACTGACCCAGCAGCTCACCTAGCCAGGAGCTGGTAGAGGGTGGAATCCATTAGGATGCCTATGTACACTGATGCATGCTGAGGTGAGCCCTGGCGATTTAAATGAAGTCTCCTGTCTAGCCATGCCATGGAAAGCCATGTCATTTGCTCTAGAAAGTCTCCCTTCCATTTGTTCATGCCACCTGGGTTCGGCAATGATTCTGAACTAGATTTTCGTTCAGTTCAGCCCTCTTGATATGGGCAGGCAGTAGGAAGTAGAACCAATTTCTAGCTGCTTTCATGGGGGTTCTGCATCACTGGAGTTCTGCTAGTCATGATTAGTGGGTGTTTGGAGACTCTTAAATGCAGATATAGCATAGGCAAGAGTGCTCAGCACGGTGAGTCTAAGTCAGGTGCTCTTTTTACTTGGCATTTTAGCTCCAGGCATTCGCTGCTCTGTTGCTTTCCATTACATCCAGCCTAGAATCATCCCATCTTGAGATGCCCATTAATTTGCTAGTGTTCTTCACTGTTTTGAGTATAGCACTGCAATGCCTGTGTTCTCTGAGGCAGTAGGGATCAGGAAATCTTTAGTAACTGTATTTCACAGGACCCCTCTGTAATTCCTCTCATTTTCTGGAAACTCTGTCTGTGTATTCCAATCTGTCTGTAGAATCCCTGGGTTAGGTCTAATCGATGTCCCTCTTTGTGTTGTCTTGCCAGAAGGAGGGACCTGTGAAGTGATCGCAGCCCACAGGTGTTGTAACAAGAACCGCATCGAGGAGCGGTCACAAACAGTGAAGTGTTCCTGTCTACCTGGGAAAGTGGCTGGGACAACAAGGAACCGACCTTCCTGTGTGGATGGTAAGCAGTGGGTTTTAGTGCTCTCTAACGCATATTCACTCATGAGTTCACTACATACAAAGTGTTTTCTTGTGTAAACTAACTGTGGATCTGGATCACGCAACAAGGCATAACTAAAGTGTTGTGAGGTCACATGCCAGACCTCAATAAGGACATGAACTTTTGCTCCTCTGATATTCGGTTTGAATGTCTACTCCAAAACTCATGTTGCAAGCAGGCTGCCGTTGTGCAAGTGCAGAAAAGTGAGACTCTGGGTTGGTGACTGAGCCACGAAGGCTGCACCATTATAAGTGAGGTACATGCCATTGGAAAGAGGGGATCCAGACCCCTCTTGCGCCCTTTTTTTCTGGTTCCTACTATGTGACAATGTATCGTAAAAGGCCTCCACCAGATGCCCATGGCTTGATCTTGTAAATCCAATCCTCTAGAGCTGTGGGAATTAATTTATGTTTGAAAATTATCCAGTTATGAGTGTTAAGTTATCGCAGCAAACACACACACACCTGGATTGGAGGTGTGTCAAATAGCATCATTTTGATATTTTCAAAGAAAACTAAAGTAAAAGAATTTTTAGGACAAGAAATGTATGGATTCAATGTATTTGGAAAGTATTTTCTTGAAGCCTGGATGGAATGGTAACGGTGTTGATGATATGAAAGTTGGCAGTACCTAATATTCATTTAAAAGATATTTACTAAACACTAGTTATCTGCCAGGTATCAGTCGTTGCCTTGAATATATGTGTGAATGAATACCATTTCCTTGAGTACACTTATGTACCAAAATCTGTTTCATATTGCTCATGTTATTTTATCTAATCCTACCCCCCCAAAAAAAAATCCTCCTAGTGGAATGAGTTATCTATATCCATCTTATAACTCATGCCCAATTTAACAGCTGAAAATACCGATCACATGACTAGGACTGTAGTTCAGTTGGTAGAATGCTCACCAGCATGCGCAAAGCAGCATGGCATAAACCTGGTGTGGCTGTGCGGGTGTGTAATCCCAGGAGATGTAATGCTAAGGAGATGGAGACAGGGGATCAAAGTCATCCTTGGCTACATAAGAAGTTCAACAATAACCTGAGCTATACAACATCTTGTCTCAAATGGATAGATTAAATTCCAAACATTTTCCTACCATGCCTGTGGGTCAAGAATTCAACTTAGCTGGGAGGTTCTGGCTCAGAAGCTCTCATGTAGCTGCAATTGAGTTCTAATGTTGAGGGGTGCTGGGTTGGTTTTGCTGTGGCTTTCTCCCATTGCTGTTGGCAAGTGCTTTTATTCTCTGCCAAGTAGGTCCATTGGAGCTTAGTATCTTTATAACATGGTAGTAGGTTTTCCTCAGGGCACCTGTAAGAAAACCACAGAAGCTCCAGTGTCCTTTATGTTAAAACTCAGAAATATGCTTCTTTATTTTATCATGATCTTGTTCGTTACGCCTGTCTACCCTCTTCAGTACAAAGGTAGCTTGCCAGAACATGAAGACAAGTAGACACAAATCATCAGAGACCATGTCAGAGGCTGGAAACCTGTTTCCTTCCCAATGCAAACATAAAGAAGCAGACTAAAGACCGCAGGATAATTCCCTTGATACATGCTTTGAAAGTCACCTCTTGCCTAACTCGTATGGCTGGTCAGTGTAACAGATGTCAATCCTAACTCTTTGCTGCCACCTTTTAGATAATCTTATATACCATGGCCAAGAAGCAAGCCTGTGGTTCTCTGCAGTTATAATAATTTAAAGTGTAGGTGCGATTTGATCTCCTATTTTTTCACCAAGGGAATTAGGTAGGACTCAGAGAAATGATTCATTCATACAGGGTCATAGAGCAGGGCTGAGAACTTCTATCTCTGGACTTAGGCACACTCTTCTTTTTCTAAATAGGCAGGGTGAAGACACTTTCTAGATAAGATTGTGCTTTTTATTTTTAATTATGGATCAGTAGGTGATTATAAAGAGAAGCTATGGCAAGAAAACAAGGTATTTTAGGAAGTAAAAGAATTCTGTATTAACCAACCACAGGAAATGCTTTAGGCAGCTGCTGTCTATATTTTTTCTTTGATTTCTGATCTTTGCTTATGTGATTCTGCTCGATAGGGCCTGATTCCCTCTTCAAGTATTTGTATTCACACTCTCATATGAATTAGAAATGGGTAAAAGGTGCCACTCTGATCTCACTTGGCATGATAGTAAAGCTTCAATAAAGAGTATTTAATGAAGATCCAATGCTGTAAATATGATTTCTGAGACAACTGAGTATATCAGTGCAGCTTGGGTCAAGAGGTAAGCTCTTGCCTGGCCAACTGCAGCCAGAGAGATAAGCTTACATGACCAGTACATATGTCCTTCTGTTCTTGGAGGAAGCCAATCTAGTCTTAAAGGATGTAACTAAGCCAAGTTTGAGAATATGGTGTGATCATTTCTGCACTGGGGCAGTTTCTCCCAGGAGTCATTTGGCAATACCTGGAGACATGTATATTCCAGATGTTTACTAAGGAGAGGAGCATTATTGCCATTGACTTCTAGTAGATAGATAGAAATACTACTAAGCATGCAAAATATGCTGGACCCCTCCCCCACAAAAACATATATCCAACAGCAATGTCAGTGGTACTGAAGTTGTCTGAACTGGACTGTGACCAGGCAATTCCATATCACAAGGAACATGACCAAGCACTGCTAATGAGTAGGCAGGCAGCTAGCCTACTAAAGCCACATTGGCCTTTTCCAAGAGAAAGTTCCAAGAAGGCAGGAAGGCATTGCACAGCATAAAATACAACGGTCTCTTATGCTCTTGGCCAAAGAAATCTTTAAGGTTGTTACCTATAAATCTCCATTCCAATTCTAGTTCATTTTCTTCTTTAATGACCTAGAATGGAATTGCCTTCAGATTTTGGATGAAAAGTACAAAGTACAGTGTATTGGCTGTGCTGACAGAGGAGGAAATGGCATTTGGTTCTAACTTTTGTTAGATAATAAACAATATGACAGCAATATTTTAATCTCAGGACAAGTTTATTTCATTTTGGAAACTCTTAAATGTCAGTGTGGTTGTTTCAAACAAAAGGACCACCAACTCTATCTTCCAAGCAAAAGCCAATAAAAAGTTTATTGGCCCAATGATGAATATTCATATATAAATAACAAGCCATTCTCAAATCTATGGGCACGTAGACAAGGCTATCTGTCGCTATCATTAGATTTGTTTGGTGGACTTAACACTTTAAATAAAAAAAAAATATATGAAGCAATCATTTTGATGCAGTTGCTAGAATATTTCAGTGTGATATTATGCCTGGGCAGAATCTTGGCTGCAGTTGTTACCAAAATGAGTCTGTCTAACTACAGTGTATTGTCTTCTCCAAACAGAGGGTGAGGACTTCTGCTTCCTAAAACTGAGATAAGAAAAAATAGAACTCTGTTTGTACTGGGATTTCCAGATTGGCTCCTGTCAAGTGCCCTCCAGATTATAGGTTTTAGTCTCGATCTTACTAGCAGGTATGGATAATTGTTAGAAATTTCAATTTATAAAACTTTCTGTCATGTTAATCCAGCATGGTGGCATCTTGGCTGCCAAGTTCTGCAATATCACCTATTTTCCTCAGAAGGTTAAGTTCATTGTAAGAATTTTTAAAGCCATAGATATATAATATCCATACATTAAAAACATTCGTGAAACTGTTTCCCAGAGATGGTCATGGCTTTGAATGATTGCCTTATAACCTAAGCTCAGAAGTGAAATGAACAACCCGGCGTTTTTACCTTTCACCCATCAGAATGGCTAAGATCAAAAACTCATGTGGCAACACATGCTGGAGAGAATGTGAAGAAAGGGGAACCCTTGTCCATTGCTGGTAGGAATGTAAACTTGTGCAAACACTTTGGAAAACAATCTGACACTTTCTCAGACAATCAGGAATAGCACAATAGATGATCAGGAATCTGGATCCTCAAGATCCAGCTCATTCCAAGACCTCTCCTCCAGCTTCTGCTCTCCCAGATTCTTTCCTCCTCTGCCTCCCACTCCTTCCTGTTCTCTGGATCCTTCCCTCTCCTGCCTATTCTTTCCTCTCCATTGCTCAACACTGTGGCTTGCCCACTTTTGGCAGAATTTATCTGTTGTGAAGCAAGGGTATTTTCTTTACCTGAGTGGCTTGTTTGTCACATTTGAAGCCATCTCTGTATGGAGGTTCTCTGATGCTCATCATCTTTGAGGTAGGCAGGGTGCTGCCAGGAGATTACCCGTCTCATTGTCAAAGAACCTTTAAAATAATAAAGACACTTTCAAATGCCATATTTTGTAGGTCTCTGAAGTTTTTAAAGACTATCTATCTTTATGTAATCAATCTGTCTACAAAATCATATCTATCTGTTAAACCTAGGATGTATACTCCTGTGATAAATTAGACTAGTGTCTGACATGACTATGAGTTGATTAACTAGCAATTAACTTGCATTACCTAATACCCTAACGAGTTTTTAATAGCAGTTTAAAAGTATTGGAAGTAACCTTGAACTTGTATCAATATACTAAAGCTTATACCAATGTTTCAAAAAGTAGACTTATTTTTGCATCAATATGCAAAATCCTGTATCAGAGTTCAAATTAACCTTCCTTGAGAATAACAGATAAAACTCTAGGTTGAGTAGATTCAATAATCTACCTTTTGTTTTATTCCTATAAGATATCCCTATATACTTCTTTCTTTTTAACCCCTTTTCTTTTTATCTGAGAAAGAAAGATAGAAAAAAGAAAAAGGAAAAGAGAGAAATCCCTGAGTCTAACCTTGTTTCACTCTGAATAAGACCATTAATAATTTATAAACATCTCCCAATGACAATAAAAATTCGTAGCCATAAAAAACAACGAAAAACATACCTAACCCCCTGTAAGGAAAATTGAACCTCATTCTCATGGATTTCTTCTAGCTGACATTTTGGGCACACAGAAGTTCTGTTAGTGGGGCCAACACTGTGGCTCAACATTGCAGCTGG